CCAAAGTCAGATGCTCAACTGACTGAGCCACCCAGGTGCCTCTCGGCCTTTGATTCTTTTTCCTAGGCATAGTTTTGAAACCTGTCTTCCTCATTTGGAAAATATCGGTTCACTAAGTTATGCAGGTCTTCCAAATACGGACCTTTCATTAGAGGATTTTTTACAATTGCGTTCATTTATATCACCACCAATCTCATCAGAAAACTCTTTAAGGATTAAGAAGCTGTCAAACTCATACTGGCAAATACAATTTTCCCAAGATACCAGTTTTCTCGAAAGTTCAAATTTTCTCGCTGGCAACACATACTGTCATTTGTTTTCCATGAGACGATGGATTCCCTTTGTTCATATTTGAGAATGTATGATGCCCACGTCTGAAAAACCATAGTTTGTCAGTCATTTTTCCAAGTGATAATGATGATCCAGAACAAAGTTGATCTTATGACTCAGTTGCTGAAGTGCTTTTCCTGAAGACAGCCACTAACCTCAGTCTGTGGCAGAGGTACTGTGTGCATATTTCCCATTGATGCACAGAATATTGGAAATACATGTACTCAAGATTTAGTAACATTAGTAATTTTGCTTTATCAAGGACATTTTATTTACTTACTTATTTATTTTGTTTATTTATTTTTTAATTTTTTAAAAATGTTTTATTTATTTCTAGGAGAGAGAGAGAGAGAGAGACAGTGTGAGCAGGGGAGGGTCAGAGAGAGAGGGAGTCACAGACTCTGAAACAGGCTCCAGGCTCTGAGCTGGCTGTCAGCACACAGCCCGATGCAGGGCTCGAGCCCACGAACCGCGAGATCATGACCTAAGCAAAAGTTGGACGCTTAACCGACTAAGCCACCCAGGCGCCCCTACTTACTTCTTTATTTTAAAGTTTATTTATTTTGAGAGAGAGAGAGAGAGCTTGCACGCATGTGAGCACCAGCGAGGGAGGGGCAGAGAGAGAGGGAGAGAGAATCTCAACCAGGCCCCATGCTGTCAGTGCAGAGCCCAATGCGGGGCTCATACTTACAAACCATGAGATCACGGCCTGAGCTGAAGTCAAGAGTCTGACGCTTAACTGACTGAGCCACCTAGGTTCCCCAAGGACATTCTATCTATCTATCTATCTATCTATCTATCTATCTATCTATCTATCATCTATTTAGAAAGACAGAGCACGAGCAGAGGAGGGGCAGAGAGAGAGAGGGAGACACAGAATCTGAAGCAGGCTCCAGGCTCTGAGCTGTCAGCACAGAGCCTGATTGATGCAGGGCTCGAACTTAACAAACCATGAGATCATGACCTGAGCTGAAGTCAGACGTTCAACCGATAGAGCCACCCAGGCGCCCATCTTTTTCTTTTTTAATTTGAAGTATAGTTGATACACAGTGTTACATTAGTTTTGGGAGTACAACACAGTGATCGGACAACCATCTATGTATTGCCATGCTCACCCCATGTGTAGCTACCATCAGTCACCATACAAGACTATTAAAGTACCGTTGACTATATTCCCTATACTGTACCTTTTATTCCTGTGACTTGTTCATTCCATAACTGGAAGCCTGCATTCCCCCACTCCCCTTCACCTGTTTTGCCTACCCCTCCCCCCACTGGCAATCGCTGCCCCTTGTTCTCTCTATGTATGGGTCTGTTTCTGCTTTTAGAACAAGTTGTTTCTTTAAACTCACCTGTAAGTATCTTTAAAGCTTCTTCAAGTGTTTCCACTGCTCCAGAGCTTCCAGAGATGGTTGTAACCAACTAGGCTTCTCACCCATTCTTTTATTTGTTGGTTCATGCTGCTGGGAATAGTGCTGAATAGACAAGTTCCTTGCTCTCCTGGTGCTTAAGGTCAGGTGGGAGAGTGTTACGAATCACACAGATACGAAGTAATCACAACTGCTCTAGGATTTACAAAGAAGAACAGGGAGCTTTGAGGCAGGACCTGACTTGGCCTGGTGAAGACCTCTCTGAAGAAGTGAAATTCAATTAGGGTCTGAGGCATGGGTTAGAATGGCCAGGCGGAAGTGGTACGTGGTTAGGAAAGAGGGTTCAAGGCATCAGCATGGGTGTATGCTTGCAGGCTGGTGTAGGAAAGGTCTGAGCACATTTGAAGACCCACCAGGGAGGTCCACTTTGACTGGAGCCTGGTGGGAAGATAGCAGGAGATGAGGGTGGAGTCGCAGCTAGAGATCAGGGTGAAGGCCATCATGTGCCCCTTTTTTCAGTTCCTATAAACTACCCGGCTTTTTCCTGCCTTAGTCTTAGACCGATGCAGATCCCTCTGCCTGGAACACTCTTCCTCTTTCAGATCTCAAAGGAAACATCGCCTCTTTTCTAAGTATATCTGTTTGTATTCTCCATAACAGCACCCCGTTTTCTTTGTAAAGCAACTATGTTTGTTTACGTTGCTTTTGTCCATCTCCCCCATGAGACTGTAAGTTCCCTGAGGGCCGCTCAATCACATTCACCCAGCCTCCCCCGTGCTTAGCAATGGGCCTGACATGCAGTTGGTGCTCAGAACTATTTGGTGGAGGAATGTGTGAATGAACAAAGGCTCACAGAGCTGGTTTCGAGATCCCTGAACAGCTGTGTGGCCTTGAACAAATCACATAAACACCCTATACTGTTTCCGACTCTGTGAAATGAGAATTTAACTTCCTAACTCAAAGGACTTTTGTGAGACTCAAGTGAAGCAGCGCATGCGGGCACCTAGCAGGGTGTCTGGCTCCAAAGGAGAGTCTTACTCCCAAGTCTGTGCTCTCCTCACTGTTCTCTGATAGATGATGAGCCTTGGGCCTTGCTTAACCGCTTCCCCCACCCCCCAAGTCTCCGTTCCACCCAGCTGGGAACACAAACATCAGAGAGACTTCCAGGCTCATGTGGTGGCAACACAGTGGGAGGGACAAGAAGGAGAGAGAAACTGGTTGTGATGGAGAGTGGATGGTGGTGGAGATGGTGTTGAAAATGCACCAGACTTTGGGTAGTGGGATTATGGTTAGTTTAATCTTCCTCCTCTTCCTCTTTCTTCTTCTTTGTTTTTTTTTTTTTTTGAGAGAAGGAGTGTGCAAGCGGGGGAGTAGGCAGAGGAAGAGGGGGAGAGAGAGAATTCCAAGCAGGCTACACACCTAGCACAGCACTCAGCGTGACGCGAGGCTCAATTTCACCACCGTGAGATCATGACCTGAGCCAAAATCAAGAGTCAGTCGCTTAACCAACTGAGCCACCCAGGCGCCCCAGTTTTCTTTCTCATTAAACTTTTAAAAATTACTAGCACAGGGGCGCCTGGGTGGCTTAGTCGGTTAAGCGTCCAACTTTTGCTTAGGTCATGATCTCACGGTTCGTGGGTTCGAGCCCCGCGTCGGGCTCTGTGCTGACTGCCAGCTCAGAGCCTGGAACCTGTTTCAGAGTCTGTGACTCCCTCTCTCTCTGACCCTCCCCTGCTCACGCTGTCTCTCTCTCTCCGAGAAATAAATAAAACATTAAAAAATTTAAAAAAAAATTACTAGCACAATAAATGCTCCTAAAAAGTTCAAACAAAAGAAGCATAAAATATATAAACTTTGCACTAAGTCCATCTCATGTTTCCAAAGGTTACTTACCACTGTCAACTCTTGAAGACATATCCTTCTAGATCATGTTCTAGCTGTCATATACATATATATAATGGAGTCACACCAATCTTTAAAATTTTGTTTTACTTAATTTTATCCAGGGACAACTTTCCATGTCAGTACAATTAGATATAACTCATTCTTTCTAATGACTGGCTAATATTTCATATTTGGGTCACCCAAATAGAATTCTCTGTACTTTCTAGATTTTGCATGAACACATAAATTATTATTGTTATCATTATAATTTTTAAAAATTATTTATTTTGAGACAGAGAGAAAGAGAGGGAGAGAGTGGGAGGGGCAAAGAGAGGGAGAGAGAATGAATCTTAAGCAGGCTCCACACAGTGTGGAGCCTAATGTGGGGCTAGAACTCACGAACTGTGAGGTCATGACCTGAGCTGAAACCAAGAGCTTGACACTTAACCACTGAGCCACCCAGGCACTCCTATCATTATGATTTTTAAACTAAACTCTACCCCAAACGTGGGGCTCAAACTCACTGATCTCGAGATCAAGAGTTGCATGCTTTATTCACCAAGCCAGCCAGACATCCCCATAAATTTTTTTTAATCAAAAAAAATATTTTTTTTTCTGAGAGAGAGAGAGCATGAGCAGGGGAGGGCCAGAGAGAGAGGGAGATACAGAATCTGAAACAGGCTCCAGGCTCTGAGCTAGCTGTCAGCACAGAGCCTGACGCGGGGCTCAAACCCATGAACCGTGAGATCATGATCTGAGCTGAAATCGGACACTTAACTGACTGAGCCACCCAGGCGCCCCATAAATTATTTCTTGATACAGAACATTTACCACCAAATTTTCTGTTTCAAATTTCATCAAGAAAAAATATTTAAAAGTTGTTAGAAAAATAAACATTTTATAATATAAATTTTCATATAGTTTATCATCAGAATAGGTGATCAAAAACTAAATCAAAGAATAAAATGGAACAAGAATTGTTGCCATTCTTGTCATTGGTTGCCACTGAGTTCACCGAATCTCAGATGCTGTTCATTTTAAAAACACACCATTGGGGTGCTCGGACAGCTCAGTAGGTTAAGCGTCTGACTTGGGCTCAGGTCATGTTGTGTGAGTCCGAGCCCTGCATTGGGCTCTGTGCTGCCAGCTCAGAGCCTGGAGCCTGCTTCAGATTCTGTGTCTCCCCCTCTCTCTGCCCCTCCCATGTTCACGCTCCATCTCTCAATAATAAATAAACACTAAACAAAAACAAAACCCCACTATTATTTGATGCAGAAAAAATTACTGCCAATTAATCGGAAGATATCACTGATATTAGAGTTTCTTAAATGTGCAAAATGAGAGTGTTGAAACTGATTAAATAAGAAAGTTCCTTTTGGATCCTTCATTAACCAGAATTCCTGTGTGATCTTCCAGGCCTGAGCAGGATTCTATGACCAGCAGTCCCTTCCACACATAGCGATGGAGGCAAAGGATTCTTTTCGTGTGGACTCAGAGTTCCGATATACCCTCTTCCCGATTGTTTACAGCATCATCTTCGTGCTGGGGGTGATCGCCAACAGCTATGTGCTGTGGGTCTTTGCCTGCCTGTACCCTTCCAAGAAACTCAAAGAGATAAAGATCTTCATGGTGAACCTCACCATGGCTGACTTGCTCTTCTTGGTCACCCTGCCCCTGTGGATCACCTACTACTACAATGAGGGCAACTGGATTCTCCCCAAATTCCTGTGCAACCTGGCCGGCTGCTTCTTCTTCATCAACACCTACTGCTCAGTGGCCTTCCTGGCTGTCATCACTTACAATCGTTTTCAGGCGGTGACACGGCCCATCAAGACAGCTCAGGCCACCACCCGCAAGCGTGGCATCTCCGTGTCCCTGGTCATCTGGGTGGCCATTGTGGCTGCTGCATCCTACTTCTTCGTCCTGGACTCCACCAACGTGGTACCCAACAAGACCGGCTCTGGCAACGTCACCCGCTGCTTTGAGCATTACGAGAAGGGCAGCGTGCCCGTCCTCGTTATTCATGTCTTCCTCGTGTTCAGCTTCTTCCTGGTCTTTCTCCTCATCCTCTTCTGCAACCTGGTCATCATCCACAGGCTGCTCAGGCAGCCGGTGCAGCTGCAGCGCAACGCGGAAGTCAAGCGCAGGGCGCTGTGGATGGTCTGCACGGTCTTGGCTGTGTTCATCATCTGCTTTGTGCCCCACCACATCGTGCAGCTGCCCTGGACCCTGGCTGAGCTGGACTTCCAGAACGGCGACTTCCACCAGGCCATCAACGATGCCCATCAGGTCACCCTCTGCCTTCTTAGCACCAATTGCGTCTTGGACCCCATCATCTACTGTTTCCTCACCAAGAAGTTTCGCAAGCACCTCACTGAGAAGTTCTACAGCATGCGCAGTACCCGGAAGTGCTCCCGGGCGACCTCGGAGACGGGCACTGACGTGGTCATGCCGCTCAGCCAGGTCGCTGCCAACTGTCTCAAAAACTAGTACTTGATCGTTGGGGCCAGGCTCAGAGGCTTATCTTCCACGGGCGTCCACTGACCTGGGGGATGAAAGGGTACCTGCTGTGGTCTGGGCACCTCCTCCCTGGGCACGAGTGACTCTTTAAGTGTGGAGGCTACCTCCCTAAGGTGGGGGTGATGGCAGGTCCAGACTGCTGGGAAATCCAGAATTTCAGTGTGCCCGCCAGCACCTCTGGACACGTGCCATAATAACATTGCCTGGTGACCTAGTCCTGAGTACCTGAGTCTGATGGCTCTGCGGGCAGTGTCAGGCCTTGGGGGCAGACAGATTCTGAGCCACCCTGTTCACCCTACCAGGGCAGCGGCCCAAGCCAGTGTGACCTGAACTTTTTGGCAACCACTTCCTTTATCATTATAATGGCAGGAATGGGGTTTGGGGAAGGAGATACTCCCCTGGCTGTGTGGCAGTATCTCTGGCAAAGACTTTGAGCTAGGATACTGCCACCTTGTCTCATTCCGAGGCACAAGGTCTTTGTGACACTTCTTGGGGGAAGGGGCTCAGGGGCACCTTTTCCACCTCATCCAACGACCTGTCCTGTATGGCTCCAGAGAAGATCAGACATGCCTAGGTGAAAGGTGGGGAGCTGGTCGTCTCTGTACAGGCCCCACTTCAGGCTTGGGTCAGCTCTGTGGGAGCGTGAGAGACCCAACTGCCGCATCCTGTCTCAACAGTGAACCCTGATGAAGTACCTTCTGTGAGACAGCTACCCACTGGGGGTGGGCAAAGGCCCCTCAAAGCCAAGTTTGGGGCATCCAGGGCGGGCACCGTGCCGCTTGGAGGCTACCATGAGAAAGGACCTTCGGCTGAGAAGTACCTGTGTGAGGGTGAGGCCTCCACAGTGGCAGGAGCCTGCTTTCTGAGGGGGGCCCCTCCTAATTTAGCTTCCAGAAGGTGAGAGGAGCAGTTATAGTCCCAAGGGGCAGCAGGCACTTTGTGTTCTGGGTGCAGAAGAGAGGTGTCAGATTCTCTCAAAGATCTCTAGATGCTTGCTTATGATTTTCAGTAAATATTTTCAAATGAGTCTCCTCTCACACCCTGCGCCCTTGTGTGTGAATCTGGCAGCCACAGACCCAGGGGCTTGGAGGAGCCTTCCCTGGTTTCCAGAGCCCAGGGATCCTTCTGAGACATCTCCTTCCCTTCCAGCCCCAGTCCTCATGAAGTGAAATCCTTATTTCCTGTCTATCGGGTTGATTTTGATAAATGCCTCACAGTGGGCCAAGAACCTGCTCGGGTCTGGGATGGTAGCTGTGGGCTGAACTTGGCTGATGGTGGGTAGGTGGGTAGTGCCCCATAACTGAGCTTTGTGACACACAGACCCAGTTTCAAGTCTTGGCTTTGTCACTTTCTGCCGCGGAACCATAAGCTACATTTCCTACCTCATAGGGGTGTTATGAACCATGAATGCTGAGGCAGATACCTCTTGGTCAGGGTGATTGCTCATCCCCAGATTCTTCCTTTGTCTGAGAAGGTGTTCTCCTTGATCCTCTGATGGGAGTCAAATGGATGAGATGTGGGTGTCTGGCTCCAGGTGGGCCAGTCACACATACCAGTCTGGAGCCGTGCGTGTGTGCCTGTCTACGTGTGTGTGTCTGTCTGTGGGTACGGGATGGGGCGGGGGAGGGTGGGCGACCGCAGGAACATATTGGAGAAACCCGCACTGCACAGAGAGAAGATGCAAAGGCACAGAGCAAAGCAGAGACCAGAGGGCGACCAGAAGCCTGGAGAGAGGAGGGTCCGGTGCTGCTGGGGCCTGCTGCCCTCCTCCTCCAGGCCAGGCCCTTCTCAAAGCCCAACAACATCTGCATTTCTTCCTCTGGGTCCCGTGAGAGTCCCTTGTCAGGATACATTCTCTTATTTTGCTTAAGCCTGTTTGAACGAGTATCTGTGACCTGCAGCTCATCTCCAAACGAGACAAATGCTTGGATGTTAAAGCACCGTGGTCCTTGGGTTTCAGTCATTGATGTGCCCCCCTCACAACTTTTCAATATCCATGTACCATCCATCTGTATGTTTACTTCATAAATATTTTTCTCTGAATTGAGTCACTTTTTTTTTTTAAATGTTTTATTTATTTCTAGGAGAGAGAGAGAGAGACAGCGTGAACAGGGGAGGGTCAGAGAGAGAGGGAGTCACAGACTGAAACAGGCCCCAGGCTCTGAGCTGGCAGTCAGCACAGAGCCCGACGCGGGGCTCGAACCCAGGAACCATGAGATCACGATCTAAGCGAAAGTCGGACGCTTAACCGACTAAGCCACCCAGGTGCCCCTTAAAACTTAAATCTATTGAAAAGCATGTTTTATGACTAACTTATAAGTGCGAATGAATGCCACCTGCCACACACAGGAGATGAACATAAACATAAAATGTAACTCTTAAGATAAAAATGTGTCCTGTCTTCAGGCCCCTCTGATGCCCCACTGGCTGGCATGGCAGGCTTTAGCAAACGTGGCTGTGACGTGTACAAAGTGCACAGGGTCTGTATTCAGTAGGTGCTCAATAAAGATTAAGTCAGACAGTTCTGACATGGTAATTTGTGATTGTCTTCTTGCTTCTCTCAGAAAGTTCCCCCAACACAGAGGCCAGGGTCTGGCTCCCACCCATGGCCCAGGAGAAGTATTTTAGGGTGTAGCCCTGCTCATCTCACCACTCTGAGCAGAGCCATCTTTACCCCCCTGCGACTTCTGCCTGCTTGTGACCCTTCTTTTCAGATACTTTCTCTTCTTCACCATGCCCAGAACACCTCCTACAGGTAGCCTTCCTGAATTCCTCCAGGGAAGGCAATTGGCTTCCTTCTTCTAGCATTAGGGCTGGGAGGGTCCAACTTTTTTGTCTCTTTTTTAATGTTTATTTATTCTTGATGGAGAGAAATACAGAGTGTGAGCAGGGGACAGGTAGAGAGAAAGGGAGAGTAGAACCCGAAGCAGGCTCCAGGTCCTGAGCTGTCTGCACAGAGCTTGATGTGGGGCTCAAACTCATGAACCGCAAGATCATGACCTGAGCCAAAGTCGGACGCCCTACCGACTGAGCCACCCAGGTGCCCCTTTTATGTCTTACCTACTATGGTTTTTGAAGTTTATCTGTTTCAATGTCTGTCTTTCAGATCCTGGGGGCAGTATCTGAATCTTAACTATGTAATCACAATTTCTCACAAAAGGTCTAGAATTGAAGTCTGCCTGTCTCTGAAGCTTGCTTCCCCAGGGTGGAGCACCAGCAGACATTGTAACATGTACATGCACTTGTTCTGAAAGGGTTTAAGGAGGCAGTTGCCACTTCTAGGCCTGTGCACCCTCTCACCTTGAAAGTATACTTTCGTTTTGACCACCATTAAACGCTTGCTTAAGAAGAAAAAGGAAAGCTAGCAAGCAAGCAAGCAAGCAAGAAGAAAGGGTTTAGGGAGACTCTTGAGAGGTAGATGGGGAAGGAATTTAATACATATCTTTTCAAAGTTCCGTGTCCATATTTTAAAAGAAATGTCAGGGATTTTCAGATGATCAGAACATCAGAACATTTTGGAGCTAGGAGGGTCCAATCCCTTCATCTCACTAAGGGAAACATGAGACTCTGAGGGGCTAAGTGGTTGCAGAAATTGCATGGCACAAAGCTGCAGTGAGCACAGAGCTGGCGGCTTGCCTGTGTCTTTTCCTTCTTGGTGACAAGATTCTGGGAAAAGCTAAGTTGTAATTCTTTTGATGAAACATCACCATTCAGGATTCCCAAGCCATCTGGCATATCAGGAAGGCTCCACCCTGCCCTGACCTCAGCTTCACGCCAGTGATCTCAGTTGGAGAATGCTGGTGTAGACAAGGAATGGTCTTTCACCTCATCAAGATGAGCCACAGACACAAGAGTGATAAGCATAGGGCGCAGTTGATTAGAGCTGGGCATGTTTATGCTTATTTTTACTTATCTGTGCTATACTTGTGTTCGAGACCTAATGCTACAGATATAACAAAACCCTCTTGTAAAACACTTGGTTTTTGTGCAGACTTAGTATCGCTGGAATACAAATCACGTTTCCCTTGACGTCCTTCCTGCCAGCAAGCCATCCTCCTTCCTACCCAGTCACCCATCCATCTGATGTGAAATGTTGGGGTCCGGGGAATGAATGGTTAGGAAAGAATTCTTGAGATATCTTCAGTGCAAAAGAGGTGGTTTTATTAAAGCACGGGGAAAGTACCTGTGGGCAGAAAGAGCCGCACTGGGGTTATGAGAAATGATGGATTACATACTTTCAAGTTGGGAGGGGGTTGGGGATAGGGTAAGTCTCTAAGGAATTTGGAAGCAAGGTTTCCAGGACCTTGAGGGGCTAGCTGCTGTTAGGATAAGGTCATTTACAACTGTCTAGTAAAATCTTAGTCATGACACCCTTCAGATGTAGATCGGTGGGCCATATGCTTAGAACATGATTGCTACTCTACACATTCAATGCAATTCCCATCAAAATTGCACCAGCATACTTCTCAAAACTAGAACAAACTATCCAAAAATCTGTATGGAACCACAAAAGACCCCGAATAGCCAAAGTAATCCTGAAAAATAAAACCAAAATGGGAGGGATCACCATCCCAGACTTTAGCCTCTACTACAAAGCTGTCATCATCAAGACAGTATGGTATTGGCACAAAAACAGACACATAGACCAATGGAACAGAATTGAGAACTCAGAAGTGGACCCAAAAGTATACAGCCAACTAATCTTTGACAAAGCAGGAAAGAATATCCAATGGAAAAAAGACAGCCTTTTTAACAGATGGTGTTGGGAGAACTGGACAGCAACATGCAGAAGAATGAAACTAGATCATTTTCTCACACCATGCACAAAAATCAACTCAAAATGGATAAAGGACCTGAACGTGAGACAGGAAACTATCAACACCCTAGAGGAGAAAGCAGGAAACAACCTCCTTGACCTCCACCGCAGCAACTTCTTACTTGACACATCCCCAAAAGCAAGGGAATCAAGAGCAAAAATAAACTGTTGGGACCTCATCAAGATTAAAAGCTTCTGCACAGCCAAGGAAACAACCCAGAAAATTAATAGGCAACCAACGGAATGGGAAAAGATAGTTGCAAATGACATATCAGATAAAGGGTTAATATCCAGAATCTATAAGGAACTCACCAAACTACACGCCCGAAAAACAAACAACCCAGTGAAGAAATGGGCAGAAGACATGAACAGACACTTCTCCAAAGAGGACATCCAGATGGCCAACAGACACATGAAACGATGCTCAGCATCCCTCCTCATCAGGGAAATACAAATCAAAACCACACTGAGATACCACCTCACGCCAGTCAGAGTGGCTAAAATGAGCAAATCAGAGAACTCTAGATGCTGGCGAGGATGTGGAGAAACGGGCACCCTCCTACACTGTTGGTGGGAATGTAAACTGGTACAGCCCCTCTGGAAAACAGTGTGGAGGTTCCTCAGGAAACTAACAATAGAACTCCCTTATGACCCAGCAATAGCACTGCTAGGAATTTACCCAAGGGATACAGAAATGCTGAGGCATAGGAGCACATGTACCCCAATGTTCATAGCAGCACTCTCCACAATAGCTAAAACATGGAAAGAGCCTAAGTGTCCATCAACAGATGAATGGATCAAGAAGATGTGGTTTATCTATACCATGGAATACTACATGGCAATGAGAAACAATGAAATCTGGCCATGTGTAGCAACATGGATGGACCTTGAGGGTGTTATGCTGAGCGAAATAAGTCAGGCAGAGAAGGACAAATATCATATGTTTGCACGTATAGGAGGATTAGGAGGAACTTGACGGAGGAACAAGGGGGAGAAGAAGGGCGGAAATGGTGGGGGAAAGGGAGAGAGGCAAACCATGAGAGACTCTTGAATGCTGACAAAAACTGAGGACTGATGGATGTGGGGGGGAGGGGGGATGGGCATGGAGGAGGGCACTTGTGGGGATGAGCACTGGGTGTTATGTGGAAACTAATTTGACAATAAACTATTTGTAAAAAAAAAATAAAAATAAAATCAAGAACAAAAAAAAAAAAAGAACATGATTGCTAACCTATGTCTTGAGGGGGTAGAGATAAAGGAAGTTTCCAAAGGATTTTTATTTTTATTTTTTTAATGTTTATTTATTTTTGAAAGAGAGAGACAGAGTGTGAGTGGGGGAAGGACAGAGAGAGAGGAGATACAGAATCCAAAGCAGGCTCCAAGCTCTGAGCCGTCAGCACAGAGTCTGATGTGGGGCTCAAATTCACGAACTGTGAGATCATGACTTGAGCCGAAGTTGGAAGTTCAACCAACTGAGACACACAGGTGCCCCATTTTTATTTATGCTTTATTTATTTCCTTCTTTTTTTATAGAAAGCATGAGTAGTAAGGGGTAGGGGGAGAGGGAGAGAGAATCCCAAACAGGCTCCATGCTCTCAGCCTGACACAGAGGTCGATCTCATGACCATGAGATCATGACCTGAGCCGAAATCAGCAGCTGGACGCTTAATGGACTGAGCCATCCAGGTGCCCCTCCAAAGGGATTTTTATATGTTAAAGAAGACTTACAGGATCTGGAGGGTGGGCTAATGTCAACCTAAGGTTGCCTTTTGCCTCCAGTAAAGTATCAACGTGGGGGCAGTTGAATTCCTGGAGGAAGGTCACTCTGTCTGTCGTAAGTACTTGTCAATGGGTTGTAAGTTGTAAGGAAATTTAATTTTTTTCTCTTTCAATTTTGCCTTTGTTCTTCACATCAATCCATCCATTTATCCATTCATCCAACTGTCCAAAAATATACCTATAGAGCATTTATTTTGGTCCCATCACTGTGCTAAGGTGAATAAAATAAAGACTGACCGAGATGGCGGCTGCCTCCTAAGCACTTAGTATAAAGGAAGAAGACTTACTTTTTGTTGAGCTCAGATGTTTGCTTGCCACTTTCACAAGTCTTATCTCACTGAGCTCTTATCACCTCTGTACAGAACTGGTCTCTTCATGCACATTTTGCAAATGGGGAAATTGAGGCTTGGAGAAGCTCAGAAAAGAGCTAGTAAGTGGCAGAATAATA